ACTGTCACGCAGAGAGTCCAGAAGACGTGTTTCCGTTAAGGAGCTTTTATGTTGGAAGCGATTCCGAAAGCAACCACTGTCGGAATCTGCTAGTGACTAGAGGAGCCATGTCTGAGGGGCTCCGTCACAGACAGAGGTTTGTGGACTTGAACAAACTCTGAGGGGATACTATTTTATGCACAAGCAGCTCATCATCCCATCACACACCGCCTGAATTCAGTATTAGAAGGAACGAGCTGGGGACAATTCAACATCAAACTTTACATTGATTGTATGGGTTTGAGGGGCGCTCGTGGGAATAAGTTATTTCATGGTCTGCAATTAATAAAGATGTGCTTGTAGAGCATAGAAGTGAGAATGCACTGCAAGCTTGTCCATGCTCACGGGCGGGGAAGGCATTATATCATTTGCAGCATGTATAATAAAGGAAGCTCCAGCCTGTCACCCTTCTCCGGGTACATATGCCAACTGACACATGCTTTTCATGCCCCCACCCCGTCCTTTGGAATGGCTTTAGATTTAAAGCAGGTCCTACCATTTTAGCACCATTTCCCTCTCTCTTTTAGGTAGCTATCCCACACTGCCACCTTTTGTCCTTTTCAGGAATTACATGTGCAAAACCCAAAGAGCCTGGATCAGGCCATGTCCACCGTTCTGTTCTCCCAGTGGCCAACCAGATACCCAGGATAGTCCACAAGCACTAGAGATGGGGGAGAAATCCGATTCTCATTGAGAGGCGAATCTACCTATCGGCAATTCATACTTTCCGAAAGAATCGGCACACTGAAACAGCCCTCCTTGTAAACTTCTCTGAATTTTGCAGTGCAGTTCTCCCGTCAAGTAATGTGCACATGAATGCATATGCTAAGGTGAATTGTGCATCAAAAGGTATATATTGGTGAAAATAACATAGAAAAATGCATTGTGTTAGGGGGAAATGCTTTGCTGTAATGAACATGTTAGGCAGAATTGCATACAAAACTTTAATCTATTAGGGTAAAATTGCACTTAAATGCTGGTGAAACAACATGAGGATGTCCCCCCCACCCCGTTCCCAGGATTCTTGGTGGTGGGGCAGGGAGACACATGCTTTCAATGTACTTTCAGTGTCCTGTCAATGTATTGGGTGTATGCTGCTTACATAGCCAGAATCATTTAATTGCCCTGCACACAAATCAGGATGAGTGCTCCACAAATGCTTTGTGTGGAAGCACCCTTGTTTCACCAGCAGTGATGGGTCTGCTTCTGACACCCCACTGGAAGATGGCAGGCTAGATTAAGGGAGTGCAGGATAGAGCACATGGCAAAACCCAATCTTGTCCTTCCAACACCTCACTGCCCCTTCTCAGTGTCTGCCTCCTGCTTCCCTCGCTGCCTAATTGTAGGGCAGGCTGTCATACACTGGCTGTTTCCCCTCCCCTCGGTTCTCTTTCCTTTCAGCCTGAATTTCCCACTGTCTCCTCTGCTCTCCCCCCCCTTTCACCCCCCACCATGTGCACATCTGTCTGCAATCTGCAGAGCGCCAGCTGGACCCCTTCCTTCCCAGCTGTGGGGCTGTTTCTGCTGACGTTTCACAAAACACACACACACTCTCTCTCTTTTTCTCTCTGCATGTGTGTTTTGAGTTTTCCCTCCCCCTGACTTTGAGGAGAGCTCACCCACTCCCAGTGCGAAGCGAAAGTGGGCTGGTGGAAAGGACACAAAGCAACAGGGTGCAAAGCAAACTCACAATCCACATTTGTCACCAGGGTTGCCAACTTTCCCTTTTTTTTAATGGGTCGGTCTGTACCTTTAATCAGCATCTTTAAAAGCAGAGACATCACCTTGCCAACAAAGGTCCGTATAGTTAAAGCTATGGTTTTCCCAGAAGTGATGTATGCAAGTGAGAGCAGGACCACAAAGAAGGCTGATCGCCGAAGAATTGATACTTTTGAATTATGGTGCTGGAGGAGACTCTTGAGAGTCCCATGGACTGCAAGAAGATCAAACCTATCCATTCTTAAGGAAATCAGCCCTGAGTGCTCACTGGAAGGACAGATCCTGAAGCTGAGACTCCAATACTTTGGCCACCTCATGAGAAGAGAAGACTCCCTGGAAAAGACCCTGATGTTGAGAAAGATGGAGGGAACAAGGAGAAGGGGATGACAGAGAACGAGATGGTTGGACAGTGTTCTCGAAGCTACCAGCATGAGTTTGACCAAACTGCGGGAGGCAGTGGAAGACAGGAGTGCCTGGCATGCTCTGGTCCATGGGGTCACGAAGAGTCAGACACGACTAATCAACAACAACAACTGTATCTTTAATAGCTACCTGGAATACCTTATTAACACAGGTTAGGCTTGAGATGCACACACACACATTAGCCCATTTGTAGCACACACACAAATGTCATTTTCCTCACCTGCATCTGTTCTCAAATGGACACGCTTTGGGGTAAAGCAGAACCAATCTGCAATGAGTTTTCATTTTTGGAATTAATCCAGTTTCTCAAAAAGCGTGCTGTTCAGGGGCAAAAGATATATATCTAGATCTAGATTGTGTGTGGACAACAACAACAAGAAAAACAAGTTTCCAAGTTTCCACTGACTCTAGAGTAAAATGCCATCATTATACAGCCTTCCCCATTTGTCTCTATGGCAACAGGCCAAGCTCTCTGGACATGTAAACAGCAGTACTTAACTGGCCAGCTAAGACCATTACCTTAAAGTAGTTTGGCTCAGCAGATTTCTTGTTTTAGATCAGGGGTCAGCAACCTTTTTCAGCCGTGGGCCAGTCCACTGTACCTCAGACCATGTGGTGGGCCAGACTATATTTTGGAAAAAATATGAGCGAATTCCTATGCCCCACAAATAACCCAGAGATGCATTTTAAATAAAAACACACGTTCTACTCGTGTAAAAACACCAGGCAGGCCCCACAAATAACCCAAAGATGCATTTTAAATAAAAGAACACATTCTACTCATGTTAAAACACAATGATTCCTGGACTGTCCGCAGGCCAGATTGAGAAGGTGATTGGGCCACATCTGGCCCCTGGGCCTTAGGTTGCCTACCTCTGTTTTAGATTGTAATCTCACAGATACAGAATCACAGGTTTGGAAGGGATCCCTGGGTATCATCCAGACTGACCCCCCGCTGCCTCCACCAAAGCCTATAACAATTTCCAGTCTTTATTGGCTCCACCCACTCCTGGGATGTGCACCCTAGAGTAGGGTGACCTATTCTAGATCGGCAGCAACTCTCTGGTGTCTCATAATCAAACTAAACGTGGTGCTAAATGTGTCCTTAGGAACCACATTGGGTTTTGTATTACAGTGGTACCTCAGGTTAAGTACTTAATTTGTTCCGGAGGTCCGTACTTAACCTGAAACTGTTCTTAACCTGAAGCACCACTTTAGCTAATGGGGCCTCCTGCTGCTGCCGTGCTGCCGGAGCACGATATCTGTTCTCATCCTGAAGCAAAGTTCTTAACCTGAAGCACTATTTCTGGGTTAGCGGAGTCTGTAACCTGAAGCGTATGTAACCTGAAGCGTATGTAACCTGAGGTACCACTGTACAGTATTTGGAAGCAGGCAAGGGAAAGAGTTCATTGGGACCATGGTGCACAGGGAAGAGGGTCCCAATCCTTTCGTCTAGAGCCACAATCTTGGTAATAACACACCGCCATGCAGGGCTATGAGCCTTTGTAGAGAAGAAGAAGAAGAAGAAGAAGAAGAAGAAGAAGAAGAAGAAGAAGAAGAAGAAGCTTCCATTCATGCAGAAGTAAGGATTTTAACAGGACTTACAGGTTGAAATTGACGCTATGAAGTGGAACAAAATTGGGGACATCGTTCCATTCCGGTCAGTGGCATCCCAAATGA